ATTGCCCAACCTTCCTTCCGAGGAGTGGCTGGTGGGTTTGAACCGCCAGCCGTCTGGTTAGCAGGCAAGTGTCTTAGCCACTATAGTAGTAACAGTCATTTATGAGTGGATACATAGAAAAATACTCAATCTGAACAGGGGTGGGAAGGCGAATGGGGCTATACCCACAAATACATATAGTTTGGCAGAGGCTATCTCTACCTATGTACTTACATGTGCTGCAAATACATCCATTAAAGAAAAAAAAATCAGAACTCTTTCAAAGCTGATTTAATTCATGTATAACTTCAGGATATGGAAATTATCTCATTTAACACTGATATAGTGCCTAAGACATTTGACTGCTAACCAGAAGGCTGGCGATTCAACCCCACCAGCCACTCCTTGGAAGGAAGGTTGGGTAATCTACTTCTGTAGTGATACCACCTTGGAAACCCAAGGAGAGGTTGCTATGAGTCAGATCTGACTCGACGGCAGTGAGTTTGATTTGGTCTTATATCATTTAGCAATAAAATTACTTTAAGTCCTATACAAATATTTGGCATATTATTAGAAGCAGTAAGAATACTAAAATATTAGAACACTAAGCTATTTTAACCCATTACCTTGACATAGATGAAAAAAATAATGACAATACATAGTTGGCAAGAATATGAAGAGAAAAGCACTTTCATATATGGCTCCTAAGAATGAGAATCAGTACAATCTCACAGAGGACAATTTAACACAACCCACTGCCATCTAGTCGATTCCCACTCATAGTGACCCTACAGGACGAAACAGAACTGCCCTAGGGGGTTTCCAAAGTTGAAAATCTTTACTGAAACAGACCGCCATTTCTTTCTCCCACAAAGTGAATGGCTGATGGGTTCGAAGTGCCAACCTTTTCGTTAGCAGCCAAGTGCTTTAACCACTGTACCACCAGGGCTCCTTCAATTTAACAATAGGTATCAAAAATCTTCAAAAATTTAGGCAAACATGGGTATATGGATGGATAGATGGGTGGACAGGCTAAAGGATTAGTTATGTCTATGAAATGGGGGTGTATCCAAGAACATATATATATATGGTTGGCAGACAATGGTCCTATAAGTTTATGTGAATGATCAGAATTCCCAGGTGTATAGTAGAGCTGACAAGGGGCAAGGTTGTGGTCACTGCTTGGTCACAGCCAGCTACCCAGAGGGACCAACTAGTTGAACCTGTGGGCTTGGGACCATAGTTGCAGGGGACATCAAGCTCAATTGGCAAAACATACTATACAAAACATTGTTCCTCCTTCTACTTTGGCGAGTAGCGACTGGGATCTTAAAAGCCAGCAAGCTGCCCTCTAGATGCAACAATGGGTCTCTCCTCGTCCAGAGCAAAGAAGAATGAAGAAAACCAGAATTCATGGAAACAATTAGTCCTAGCAACTTGTACACCATCCAATCTGTAGCCTATAAGACTATGAGACCAGAAGAACTAGATGGTGCCTGGCTACCACTGTCATCCACTTGGAAGGGGATCTATGTAGGAGATCCTTGATAGAGAAGGAGAATAATGTGGAACAAAACTCAAAATCATTTGGAGAAAAAAAAAAAAGGTGGGGACCAGGTTTGCTCGTCCGATAGAGCCTGGTGGAACCACTGAGACTATGGCCCCTGGCTGCCCTTCAGGTCTGGAAATTGAACCCACACCTGTGGTTTCCAGCCAAACAAAATACAGGCATATGAGTTAAACGTTTACCTCAAGTAGATACACTCCTTGGAGAGAACAACCATGGGAGAAAGAAGGGCTGCTTATGCACAGGGAGACAGCTAAGGGGGCAGGAGTGCATGGAGGGAAGGACACTGGGTACAGGTAACATAGGGAGGAAGTGGGAGGGGAGCTGTTTCATTGTGGTAAACTGTGGTCAATGACATAAGACAAAGTATATGTGAACCGCTGTATGGAAAGTGAATTTGCTCTGTAAATCTTCACCCAAATCACACACACACACACACACACAAAGACTGTAATCAATGTCACTGAATTGTACATGGAGAAATGGTTGAACTGATGTATGATTTGGTATGCACATTCTCAACAACAACAACAAAAAATTTTTTAAAAAAAATCTTCAAAAATTTGACTCATTCTAGGGGATTTACTCTAGAATGAAACCTGTAACACCCTAGTCCACAACAGGTTCCTTCAAACTCTTTATCTCAATTTGTAAATATATATTATGCATTATTATTTATAACTATCCAACTAATACCTCGTTGAACACAGAGGTCCTAAGCTCCATGAAAGCAATGCCATTATTAGCTGGTTCTGCTCCCTGTTGTAACCCCTGAATTTGGAACAGAGTGAGTGCTCAGTAAATATTTGCTGAATGACAAAATGAATGAACAAACCAAGCAAATGGCTAGCAATCCAGAGGCCCTAATGAGGTAAGAATTATGTTAACTATTGTCTCATGCTGCATTCTTTTAGTCCAGCTTCTCAAAGAAGAACTGACATCAGGATTGAAGAAAGACTAATTAACAACCTGCGATATGTAGACACAACCTTGCTTCCTGAAAGTGAAGAGGACTTGAAGCACTCACTGACGAAGACCAAAGACTACATTCTTCAGTATGGATTACACCTCAACATAAAGAAAACAAAAATCCTCACAAATGGACCAACAAGCAACATCATGATCAGTGCAGAAAATACTGAAGTTGTCAAGGATTTCATTTTACTTGAATCCACAACCAACATTCACGGAAGCAGCTGTCAAATCAAATGACATATTGCATTGGGCAAATCTGCTGCAAAAGACCTCTTTAAAGTACTCAAAAGCAAAGATGTCACCCTAAGGACTAGGGTGTGACTGACCCAAACCACAGTATTTTCAATCCCCTCATATGCATGTAAGTAGCTCTGGTAACACAGTGCCTAAGGCATCTGACTGCTAACCAGAAAGGCTGGTGGTTCAAACCCACCAGCCACTCTGCAGAAACAAGACTGGGCAATCTGCCTTGGAAACCCAACTGGGGTAGCTATGAGTTGGAACTGACTCAATGGCAGTGGGTTGTTTTTTTTTTTGTTTTGTTTTTTCCCATATGCATGTGAAAGCTGGGCAATGAATAAGGAAGACCCAAGAACTGATGATTTGAATTATGGTGTTGGTGAAGAATATGCAATATACCACTGACTGCCAGAAGAATGAATGAATCTGTGTTGGAAGAACAGCCAGAGGTTCCTTTAGAGTGAGGATGGTGAGAGTTCATCTCATCTATTTTGGACACGTTATTAGGAGAGACCAGGCCCCTGGAAAAGGGCATCATGCTTGGTAGAGTGTCAGCAAAAAAAAGGAAGCCTTTCAATGAGAGGCTGACACAGTGGCTGCAGTAACAGGCTCAGGTTTTGAGGATGGTGCAGGGCACCTCAGTGTTTCGTTCTGTCACATAGAGGGTTGCTATGAATCGGAACCAAGTCGAAGGCACGTAATGACAACATATTGTCTCACGGTGGAACAGTACATACATGTTTTTCTTTGATTCATGTTTAACTTTTGTGCACTCAAGACAAAGCTTTTCAAATATGTATTATTTTGAAAACTGTCCATCACTCAAAGCAAATCCAGGCCAAACACGAAAAAGTTGTTTAATCCATCAGGAAAAATGCTGGATACCCTTAACAGAAGCCTGTGGTCCTGCGGGAGGATTTCACAAACACCCCAAAAATCATGCGACACCGGCCTGCAACTTCTCAGCATCTCACTGGAGGTAAGGGCCTCACATTTGCCCCTTCAGGGCATGTCAGGCGCCGGGTACAGGGAACACGCGGGCTGCCTTCTCCTGACCCGAATTTAGGTAAGAAAACCCGAGTCTAACGTGACGCCGAAAGCACAGCCATTCATTCCGATGTATTTGCGGGGCACCTACCGTATCCCAGAAACCCAGGCTTCTGGCCTGGCTCCGAAAGGCCTGCGGTGTGGCCGCGGGTGCCAACACAAGCCCGGGTCTGCCACCCCGAAGGGCCACGACGGGGACTTCAGCAGGCTAACGGCGACAGAGCACTTCGGAAGGTACTAGGGGCACACGGGCCAGGCCTCCATGCGGCCTCGCGGACCCGGCCGCGCCGACGGAGCGAGCCGCGGGGAGGCGCCCCTGCCCCCGACAGGCCGCACTTACCCGTCGGGCGAGTACTCCAGGTTGAAGACAGCGCCGTGGGTCCGGGTGCTGAGGTACACCGAGTCCGCGGGGTGGATGGAACCGTACAGGTTCGTCATGGTGCGGAAATTGTCCCGCGCCGGGTCCACGAACAGCCCGCGGCCCAGACTGCGTTCCTTCAGCCACCCGAACAGCCGGGCGCCGGGGCCGCCCAGGCCCGCGCTGAAGCCCTGCCGGCCCCGGCTCCCGGCCCTGCAGTCAGGCCCGGGCCGACGGCGCGGCGGAGACGCCTTCCCCTGCGCAGCGGCGTCTGAGGGCTCCGGACTGCCGGGGGGCGCGAGCTCTGTGGCTCGCCCGGGCGGGGGCGGCGACGGGGCCCCGGGGCGGCAAAGCGCCCGTGGAGGGGCTACGTCAGCCCCGGGCGGGGACGGGGGCGGCCCGGCGGCTGCCGCCTGCTCCCCGTGGAAGGCCGGCTCCTCTGCCACGACTCCGGCCGCCGCGTCCCCACCGGGGCCACAGGGACCAAAGGGAAACATGACCGCAGCCCCCGCCCCCCACTCCGGGCCGCAGCCCCGCCAGCCGACACCTCAGTGCTCCCGCTGCAGCCGCCACTTCCGGCGTGCGGAGCCCTAATCCTGCCGACTGGGAAACTCGCGCCACCCCTCGGCCACCGCCTGCAGGGGACCGGGAAAGTGGGGACACCGCCCCGTTAGGGGTGCGGGCATCACCGTTGGTGCCTTGGTAGAATCCAACCTTGGGCGCGAGTAGCTGTAGGCGTGAGCGACAGAAGATGCTCAGGCTCCAGGTTCCGTATCCAATGCTATCATCTGGGCCCCGCTGTCCCCACTTTACATTGAGCACCAAGGAAGGAACGTTATTAGCATACTACGTGCAGGTCGCAGTTTAGTGCCATAGCGTCCTGCCTACTCAACCTGGGAGTTACTCTCTGGTCAAGAATTTTGGCATTGAACAACCCTGGCCTCTGCAGTGCCTGGAATATGGGGCCTTTGGTGCCCTAAGTGTTTGTCCAACTCCCAGCTACTGCCCGGTATGTCAAGACTATCAAAGCTTAAGTTTTCCTCCCTCCAGGAACACATAACCAGACAGGAGTCAGAGGGGAGCTGGAGATTGGAAAATCGATCTCACCAGCAACAGAACCCAGAGTCCAGTTCACTCACGTCCTGTAGGAAGGGCATGGAAGGCATGACATATCCAGGGCCTGTATCACTGCTGGTGGAATGAAGGCATTGAACTGGTCTGCAGAAATGGGTTAACAGGAACTGCAGTTTCCTGGGGAGGGAAGCCCAGTCCTCAATAAAGGGAAGCTTGAGGCACAAGAAGGCATCAATGTCAACACTGAACTCTTCAGGGCCTCCATCAAGAGCTATGTTGTAGAAAGCTCACTGCTGGTCATCAGGTTCAGAGAGGGCTGAACATTCAGCAGTCCCTCCCATGAAGAGGGTTAACAGTCATTCAGCAATCCTGTCCATGAACTGATTGGAAACAGGGGAAGCAACAGGGGCCTAAACTAGGCGATCAAGGCAGCCCTTCCTCACCAGCCGTTCCCCTGTGTTCCTGGAAAGATACAGACCACCAATGTAGCCCCCACAGAGCAGAAGGGGCAGAGACCTGTTTTATTATCAAAAATGTCCCTAATGACCCAAGACATCTGGCTGCAGTAGCAGGCCTCTGCTTGCCACCCCCTCCAAATTTAAGGCCAATGGCCCTAATTCTATGCTCTGCAAACCCTGACCATGACCCAATTCCAATGTTAACTTTTGAAATTAGCAAAATCAAATAAACTCAATTTTAAAATGTTACATATTTCTAGTTCACTATGGTAAAAAGTCAAGAAAGGTTTATATATGGAAAGAAACTTTCTTTGCTGGTTACCAGGGATGGGAGTGGAGGGGAGGGAAAACTGCTAGATACGTAAGAGACAAGTATTGATTTGGGTGAAGGTAAAGGCAATATACCAAACTAAGTGACCAACACAATAACACTAAGAAAAAGGAAGACACAGAGAAGTACACAAGAGGTACAGCCAACAAAGATAAACACTTTTACATAAATAATAATGATGGGTAAAGTGAAATGATTAGGTATGTCTAGGCAAAAATACCATGACCATATGTAAGGCTGGCAGATGATATCTGTACATACCTGTTTGTATGTGTTACAAGAATGTCCATATATAAATAGAACAGGAGGCAAAGTTATGATAATTTCATAGGCAGTCAACTACCCTTAGGGAGAGAGTTACTGGGCCTGTGGACTCAGGACAATGGTCATAGGGGACATCAAGCTCAATTGCCAACATACTACACAAATAGAGTTCTACATCCTACTTTGGTGAATACTAACTGGGGTCTTAAAAAGCTTGCAAGTAGCCATTTAGATGCAACAACGGGTCTCTCCTTGTCCAGCACAAAGAAGAATGAAGAAAACCAAAGAAGCATGGAAACAATTAGTCTAATGACTAGTGGACCATGTGAACTCAGCCTACATGACCATGAGACCAGGAAGAATTAGATGGTACCCAGCTACCACTGTCAACTATTCGGAAAGGGATTGGTGCAGGAGATCCTGGATAGAGTAGAAGAACAATATGGAACAAAACTCAAAATCATGAAAAAAAAAAGACTAGTTTACTGGTCTGATAGAGCCTGGTGAGAGCCCCCCCCCAAGACTACAGCCCCTAGTTACCCTTCAGGCTTGGAATTGAACTCACTCTTCTGGCTTCTAGCCAAACAATAGCCAGACATGTAGGGTGACCATTTACACCAGGTAGATATACTTAGAACGATTAATCACAGAACTGACAGGCATATTTGCACAGTTAGATAGCTCAGGGGGCGGGAATGCACAGGAAAGGAGGACACAGGGAAGAGGTAACTACAGGGAGAAGGCGTAAGAGAGCTGTTACACTGTGGGGAGTGCAGTCAATATCATGAAACAAAATGTCTATGTACTACTGTATGGAAAATGAATTTGCTCTGTAAATTTTCACCAGAATCACAATTGAGGTGGGGGGGGAAGTTACATATTCCAAAATATGTGAGGTCCAGTTCCAACAGAAAAATACAAACTCTGCAATTAGAGTCTATGCTGGCTCAAGAGAAACCAGATTTCTCAATTCAAACAATTTAAAAACAAAACACTGTAGCCCCAGAGCTGATTAACCATTCACTGACAATTTAGGGAACTGAGAGAAATAGGACAATCAAAAGGGCACCATTCGTCCAGAAATAAAGCTCAGAAGGCAGGAAGGGCTAGGAAAGAAGGATGAATGGAAACAGTAAACATGGCAAGTGGAAGAGTGCTGTTCCACTATAGGGATTGCAATCAGTGTCACAGACAAAATGTGTATGAATCAAGGAATGGAAAACCAATGTGCTCTTTAAACTTCCACCCAAATCACAGCAAAAGATTAAAAAATAAAAGGGGGGTACAAAAATATTTTGTAGGTTTGCATGGAACTCTATCAGTCAAGTAACGAGAATGATTCCTGCAAAGTTAAGATAGCCACAGATAAACATCTGTGGTGGTTGTAACATATAGAGTCACTTGGTAATGCCAGTAGTTTTCTTCCTTATGCTCCTACTTAAATGTGAGCTCTCACTTACTCCAAACAATTTTTACTAAAATCTGAAATAATAAATTATATAAGGACTAAAATTCTACTGAAATGGCTCGTCTGATTGTACAACCAACCCATCAACTGGAGGAAAAAAAAAACAGTGATTAAGTGATAAGGGGCCAAAGACAGAACTTTCCCTGGGTGTGTGCCTGCTCCTGGTTACCTGCAGCCTATGAGCTTTAAAAACATGTTAACAAGTAGCTTATTTCCAATCAGTCTGTATGGACCCGTTCCTATGTAACACTATTTGTGAAAGCTAAAATATCATCAATTTCAACTGCTGAGACTCAGTGATTAATTCATCAGAACGCCTGAAGCATGCTCTGTGGCCCTTGCCCCTTGATGCTCTATTTAGATCACAATCCAAGGAAGCAACTGGCCAAGGTTTCCTGAAATGGGTCCCCCAGGGCCAGGTCATCACTCATCTCTGGATCCGACACTTAGGATGTATCTCATCAAGCAAGCAGGGAGTAAATTTATTTACTTTCTTCCCTATCCGCTAACTCTATGTTTAAAGGAAAACTACTTCCAAACTGATGTTCTGTAAGGCAACATGACTGAAATGACTGATGCTGGCTTCTCTTCCAAGCACTTAGACTCTGGGGGCAGCAGGTTCACTCTTGGAGTCTGGGATATGACTAGATCTGCCTAACAAATAGAATTGTTTGTTGGGAACAAGACTGACAAAATGAGCAAGGCGGTTGGACATGGCATAAAAAGCTGCAATGGCAGCTATGTCCCAGGCATCGTCTCGGTCAAAGCCATGCCCCTCAAGCTTTTTGAAATGCTCGTCTGTTATGTCGTCAGCTTGGGAGACAGCAAGTGCAAACTCCAGCATCGCCTTGTCCCGAGCAGGGAGGTCGGACTTCCTCCAATCCACACAGACCTGGAAGAGAACACACAGTCAGAGGGGAATTTCCATCCATCCTAATACAGTCAATAAAACACAAAGCCTAACGAAGTGGACACCTAGGAACCAAACCCAAGGCTAGAGCCAAAACCCAAGGGCAAAGTAAGGCCAAAATGATATCTCCGGAAGGTAAACGTCTTGGTAGAGCCCAGTGGATGCACACCTTGAAGTCTGGCTGAGCATCTCTCCATCAAGACTTTCTCACTCACTCCAGCTTCTAGCAACATCTTTCTCCTCTAAAGACCAAGGGCACAAAAAATCTTAGAACCAAGATCCAGACTCTTTATACATAAGGACCCAAAAGTCTAACTTTTTCATAAAAAAACTGACACTCACAGAAGTACCTCCCTGCTCCCCAACAAGACATATTATTTGCAAACTCAATAGCTGACATTACAATAATGGTGAGCAATGATTTATGGGTGGATAGATGGGTGGATAGGCTGAATGATCAGGTGTGTCTAGGCAGGGGGGAGTGTGCCCATGACACATGTGTAGGGTTGGCAATGTTTCTACAAGCATAGTTGAATGTACTGTCAGAATTTCTAAGTGTATAGTAGAGCCTACAAGGGACAAGGTTGTGGTGGCTTCTTGGCTATAGCCAGCTACCCCGAGAGAGCCCATGGGTGCAGGACCATGGTCACAGGAGACATCAAGCTCAACTGGCATAACACACTACACAAAAACACTGTTCTACATCTTACTTTAGTGAGTAGCAACTGGGGTCTTAAAAGCTTGCAAGCAGCCATCTAGCTGCAACAATGGGTCGCTCCTCATCCAGAGCAAAGAAGAATGAAGAAAACCAAAGACACACTGAAACAATTAATCCAAGGGACTAGCAGACCATGTGATCCTCAGCCTATATGACCATGAAACCAAGAACTAGATGGTGCCCGGTTACCACTGTACCACTGTCAACCACTTGGAAAGTGATTGGTGCAGGAGATCTGAAGACAGTAGGAGAACAATGTGGAACAAAACTCAAAAAAAAAAAAAAAAAAAGACCAGGTTTGCTTGTCTGATAGAACCTAGTGAGACCCCTGAGACTGTGGCCCCTAGTCACCTTCAGGTTTGGAACTGAACTCACTCCTGTGACTTCCAGCCAAACAACACACACAGGGTGAACATTTACATGAGGTAGATACATTCATTGGAGTGATCAATCGTGGGAGAACAGAAAGGCAGTGTTTGCACAGGGAGACAGCTCAGAGAGCAGGAGTGCATGGGAGGGAAGGACATAGGGAACAGGTAACTATGGGAAGAAAGTGGGAAGAGAGCTGTTACACTATGGGGAACTGCAGTCAATGTCATTAAACAAAATGGGTAGGAACTACTATATGGAAAATGAATTTGCTCTATAAACTTTCACCCAAATCACAATTAAAAAAAAAAAAAAGCTGACATTACTGTGTGCCAAGAATGTGCTCAGTGTTTAATGGTCATCATCTCATTTCTTCTAAAAACCCTAGGTGATGGTATTAGCATTGTCAGTCCCACTTAACCAACAGAGAAACTGAAGTTAGAGAAGTGAAGTCGCTTCCTCAAGGTCACAGAGCTAGAGTGTAGCGGAGCAGGCTCTGATGCCAAGTACTAGACCCCAAAGACGATGTCACTAATCAGTACCCTTGTGGAAGGAAAATTCTAGAACCATTGAAAAAACTCTTGCCATCAAGTCGGTTTTGTCTCATGGCAACCCATGGGTTTCAGCGTGGACCTACACTCCGTAGGTCTCCATGGCTGGGATCCTGCAGAAGCAGAGTGCCAGACTGTCCTCTGAGGCACCCACCTCTGAGTGGTGAGAGCTGCCAACCCTTTAGTCAGCAGCCCAGTGCTCAGCCATGTGGACCACCCAGGGGCTCCTACTAGAATCACAAAATACCTAAAAATAGAAGACTAGGTAAGCTAACACGGCATGAAAGCATACCCTGTGGCCACCAGGGAGGCAATTCCTAGCAAAATGACCCTGGATGAGCCAAGGTCTAGTGAGTAGGCAGGAGACTGACAGCAGAGCAAAAAGGACGGCGTCCCTGTCCTGAAGTTGTCTTCAGCCTGGCAACAGAGGCCCTCAGGGAAGAGTCTGCAAAGTCCCCAGTCAGGTGGGTTTGGGACGGAAGGCTGAGGGGTGGGGAGACTGATGAACCTTGCTTTTGGGACTAAAAGCAGAGAACTGACACTCCTGTTCCTCAACCCAGACAGTCAAGAATCTCAGTGTAGGAATCAGCAGGACCTTGTAAGCCTGGTGACAAACCCCCATTTATTGTGTCTTTATTTTCAGTCCACTTCTCTGGAATAATAACCATGACCTCTGATCCCCAAAGGGCCTGGCTTTGGATGAAGCAAGAAGAGTGTAAATTGCTGGCTGGGAGACTGAGACCTGAGACTGCGATTTCACAACCAGACTTGGTGAGAGAGAGCAGATGGGGACGGTTCTAGAAGGGGAGGCAGGAAAGCCCAGGCCTGCGGCCAGCAGCAAGAAAGAAAAGAAAATGAGAATCTGGTCCAATTAAATTCACGCTGGAAAACGCAACAGTGTCACGCAGGAGAAAGAGTGCTGACTTTGAAAAGGGACTCAGCCAGATTCTAGCTGTATGCCCCACCTTCAGTTCAGTCTCTGAGACTCACGGGTACCACAAGACTTCACCTTAGAGGGGCACCCGTGCCTCTGAGAGAAGGCGTGCCGAGGATCCAGTCCGTATCCAACACCGAGCTGACCCTCAGCTAACCCCTACACCCAAACATCACGTCAGCTGGAAGCAGGCAGGCACAGTCATGTGGCCCCCAAGGGACTCAAGCCAGGGGAGGAGCTCCAGGTCTACGTCCCCTGCTCCACACAATGGCAGGGGTTTGCCCCTTCCTCCCTCAGGGGAGGTGGGCACTAACCTGGTCAGAGAGCACTGGGTTCTTCGAGTAGACCCGGTACAGGGCACTGTGGACCACCACACTGTATAGACACCTGTTGGCTATGCTGGTCACCAAAATGATGAGCTCCTTGTCAGCTCTGCTGAGGTGGCCTAGGGAAGAAGAGACACCTATCCACAAGCCCCGAGCAGCAGCACAGAACCTAATGGACTCAGCCACGTTTGAGCAACAGCCACCCACCCACGTCTTCACCCACCCATTCACTTACCTCCCATCCCCCGTTCCTCGCTACCAACTACCCGTTTCATTTTCTTCATGGTTTTTAACAGTCTCTGAAGTCAACATATTCTTTTATTTCTCTGTCACTATCTGTTCCTTCCTCTCTAGAGTAAGTTTGAAAGATCAGACGTTTCTCTGACTTCTTCACCACCACATGCCCACGGGGATGCCTGCCACAGTAGGTGCTCAGACACGTGCTGAAAAAATTACTAAATTTAAGAAGCATTTTCTGAAGCCCACCATGTGCTGAGCTAACACTTTTAAGGAGGAGGAAGAGAGAGTCCCTAAACTCAGGGGACCCACTGTTGGGGCTGGGGAAAGGCAGAGAGGGAGGGGACTCACTTTGGTACCGGACACATTCTGGGAACTTTGCTCATTTAATCCTCATTGGCTCTGCAGAGTGGTTATTAATAATAATATCATCTGAAGGATGTCATGCTTGGTAGGGTGGAGGGTCGATGAAAGAGGGGGAGGCCTTCAACGCGATGGATTGACACGGTGGCTGCGATGATGGGCTCAAGTATAGCAGGGATTGTGGGGCTGGAGTGGGATCGGGCAGTGTTTTGTTCTGCTGTGCATGGGGTCGCTATGAATCGGAAACGACTCGACGGCACTTAACAACAACAGAAGGAAACTAAGGCTTTGAGATGTTTAAGTACTTGGTTAAAGTTCAGGTGGATTACTTATGGCAGAACTCACATTTGAACCCAGACTCTGTCTCTTCTCACTATGACAGAGAAGTCATGGAACAGTATTATGCTCATATGAAGCACACAGTGGACAAGGGCCAATGAAGGGCCTATGGGAGTTCAGAGGAGTCCTTCGTAAACAAAGACAGCTGCCATGGAATGGAAGGAACTGGATGCACAAAGGCATGGGTAGGAGAAAAGGCCTCCAGGGGCAAAGCATGGAAGGCCTGCAGGAGATGCGGCTGGGAAGGCAGGTTCATGTCAGCCTGGAAGAGCCATTATGACGGACAGCTGGCTGTCTCCCAGTACCCATCTCCTCCTCTTCCTTTAGTAATGGAATTCCTTTACTTTAACTGGACATACAGCCACACAGTTTCCCATGCAGGTAGATGTAACCATGTGACCAAGTCTGGCCAATGGGATATAAAAGAAAGTGATGTGTGCAACTTCCGTGTCGTCCATAGAGGGAAGGGATATGTGCCTGCCACTGCCACTTGCTTCCCTTCCCGTTGTCAGGTAGTAGTGAGCCGGCCTGAGTATGCCGGCCAGACAGCAGAAGGCACCGGGAGCCTGAGCACTCACCTGGGTACTACAGGTGAGACACAGAGGGAGAAGAGCAAAGTCTTATTTAAGCCAATGTATTTTGGGTCTGAGCAGCAACAGCCTAAACTGAACCCTAATGAAATAAATCCAGGAATGCCAGGCTGGAGTCCACGAGCATTTTCAGGGGCTTAGGAAGCTATGGAGGGTTTTCAAGCCCTAAGAAGGATAAATGAGCCAGGACTACTGCATGATGTATCTCAGTTACATACCTGGAATCGTGAAGTTACATTCAGACCTCAGCCTCAGAATTCAGAGGAAGTCTTCCCACGATTCTCGGTGGCCCCCCAGTGATGTGGGGCTATGTGGGAGGGGAGGCTAGCAATCAGGCACCTAGGTCTCATCCAAGAATGACTTACCACCACCTCTCCATGTACCTGTTTCTTTGTTGCAGATGGCATTGTAATAAGAAAAGAAGGCTCTAAATTCCAGTGGCCGGTAAGACAACACTTTAAATAGGTTTGGTAGAAATCCTGCCTGCAGGGACGAACAAAACAGGGAAGGAAAGTAAGAACCCAGAGCAGAAGGGGCAAACTAACTCCTCCCATTGTGTGAGTACCGCGTGCCATCTTAGGAAGGTCATACGTGCCATCTTAGGAAGGTCATTCGTGCCATCTTAAGAAGGTCATGCGAGCTTTGGTCTCAAAGCACAACCCCCACATTTTAAGTTTTAAGAGGCATAGGTAGTTTCTTTTTGGTGTATCATTTTATAAACTTTAGAGAGGGAATGCTACAACTAAACAAAGTAACATTTCTTAAAACTGAGGGTCCACTATTTTCTACTTTTTCCCAGAAGGATTTGGTGGTGCTCATTATTTCTATGAATTAGTAATGAGCCTTGACATCTGCACAGTAGGTTACATGCTCTTCCATACATCCAACATCGTTTCTGCTTCTCTATGGCCCTGTAAGACAGGTAAGGGAGGTAAAGCAGGCACCACTGCCCCCGTTTTACAGATGGATAGCCATTTCTTTCCTCCTCCTTTTGAAAGGGAATGGGGAAGGTGTTTAGATATCAGGTCGCCAGGGGTTGAGGGAAGGTTGGGTCCTTTCACCGGTGCTGGAGGGCAAATCCTGATTGCTTTGAGCCAATCCCAGTGATTCCATTCCAGTCGTCCGTGGTTGGCCCAGGAATGGACATATGACACAGTTCTGGCCAATAGGAAAGGAAAGGAAGGGAAGCATCAAGAAGCCTTTTTTCTCTATGAAAGGTATGTGAACAAGGGTTGTGCTCTTAGCTCCTCCAGGAGTTGTGAAAGGATGTAATGCTTTTGCTGTTACAGCCATCTAGTGACCATGAGGCGGACAAGTCTGATGAGAGTCATCACGCTAAGCAACATAGAGCCAAAACATGGAAAGAACCTAGTCCTTGATGACATCACTGAGTGACTGCATCAAACAATCCTGAAATAGACTGCTCCCTGGGCCTGCTGTAGACATGATATTGCCACCACTGTTTAAGCTGTTGGTTGAACTGGACTTTTTGTGACCTACAGCTGAAGCACCCTAACTGATGATAGATAGTAAAGGTTCATTATGGGTCTAGAAACCACAGTACAAAGAACCATTTCTGTTAGCCAGGGGCAGGGATTTGAGCGGGTGGAGAGGTGTGGACAGTTGAGGGTGACACTACAGAAGAGGCTGAGGCTCTAAACCTCACCCCAGAACAGCTGTTATATTTTATACACACACACACACACACACACACACACACACACACACACATTGGACTTCCATGCAAGATTTTGTTTGGGAGGGGAAAAAAAAAATCCTCAAAATAATACTAAGTTAGAAAAGCAAAGGTTCAGAACAAATGTTTATGTTTAAAGAAGGGTCTTATAGCTGCCCTAAAAATTATCCTCAGGAAATAATTCAGGGATGAACAAAAAGATGTATGTACAATCATCTATCGCAAATCCAAAATGTCCAAGATTTGGGTTTTGCTGAAATAAACTACTGTATTTCTCAAATGTAATGCTGCATCATGCAGTCACTAAAAATAATGCTTCTGACCTAGAAACACGTTCATCATAACATGACTTTCTTTTTTTTTTTTTTTTTTGGACAGTGAAAGAAAGGACTCAACCTTCCCTAAAACCCCTGGCAACCTGGTATCTGAACAACATCCAGGTTCTGTTGTCAAGAGAGGAGGGAAGAAATGGCTATTGGTCAGCAGCCAATAGCTGTCTGCCACACATCCTATTAGAAATATGAAATATGTATATAAAGTTATACAAAAAAAACAGGGAAGAAGGAAACATGAAATGCAAACAGTGGTTGATTTTTGATAGTGGAATCACAGATTGTTTAAAAATTTTCAGCTTATGTAATTTTTCTTACTAGCATTTCAACATGTAATTTCTAAAAATAATTTTTCTCTACAAGAAAGAGCTGTTAAGCAGCTGGCACATGTTCTCGATGGCTGTATCTCCAGACCATATTATTGTGCTCAACAGAACTACAAAGCACACTTTAGTCAGGAGGGCAGAGGACCAAGTGACACACAAAAAGTACAAGAACTCAAGGTGCTTTGCCTGAGATGATAACAAACCAAGCTCAATGTCACTGAGTCAGATTCGACTCATAGTGACCCCTCCTTGGGTTTCCGGGGCAGTATCACTACAGAAGTAGATTGCCCAACCTTCCTTGCAAGGAGTGGCTGGTGGCTTTGAATCACCAGCCTTCTGGTTAACAGTCAAATGACTTACGCACTACACCACCAGAGCTCCTTTGCCTGAGGTAAGAGGGAAAAAAAAATTATGTTCTTCTGCTTGAGATGTAATTATACTCCAAAGGAAGGCCTCATCCACAGTGGGGGACTTAGACTGATCAGGAAAAGCAGTTCCAGAGATTCCACACAGGCTGACAAAGGTATGTGCCGGCTCTAAGTGCACTGGCAATGGCCCTGTGCCAGGTGACTGTATTTACCTTCTTTTCTATCTCTTCCATAAGCTCTACAATGTCAAAAGGCAAGTCCTTCTTGTAGGGAATGGGGTAACGGCAAATAGATGGGGACGCCTCTTCCTGATGAATCTCACAAAGGCGCAACTCTTTCCAAAACCTACTTGTCACGAGGCGGAGGAGAGCCTAAAAGGAAAGAGAAGTTTGGATAGGTTGTCGGAGGAATGGCTTGGACAACCAGTCTACATAGGACTTAACGGAAAGATGGCAAACAGGTCCCACCTCCAATGCTAACTCCACTGATTACAAGTCCCTGCTCGTTGAGAACAACTCAGAAAAGGAGGGTGAGGATGTCTGTACAACTTC